TAAAGCTAGTACAACTCAGATATGCAGTTTTGTTCACATCGAACAATTATAAACCCGAATTAATGGACTTAGAATTCTTACGGTAAGGGCGCGCTCAAGAGTAAAGTGTCCTTTTGGAACAATGTTGGAACAACTAGAACAATTTATAGCGATAAAAAAAAGTTTGATTTTTGAAAAAAGGAGAGCCAAATAAAAACGTTTTTTTTTGTTTCGGAATTTTTATTCGACTTATAGAATCGTCCTTTTGGAACAATGTGTGGAACAACTAGAACAATCTATATTGATAAAAAAATGTTTGATTTTTGAAAAAAGGGGGGCCAGGTAAAAAAATTATTTTTTTCGTTTTATTGGAGAACCGTTCGGTATAAAATAATATCGTTTTGGAACAATGTGGAACAAAGTTAGAACAACTTGAAATAACTTTCAAAATTGTAATTTTCAAAAAAAGGGGGTCCAACTTCATACACTCAACGGGGAGACTCGTGATAGGTTGTTGAAAAGACTTATTCGGTGATGTTGTCAGTTCACACGACTTTATTTTAAGTACTAATCTCACAACTTAATCACTCGCGTAATACGCGCACCGACAGCGTAATGTACTGTGTACAATAAAATTAAGAACTCCGCAGTGGTCCGCTGGATGGCAGGTTTTATCCCGTCTCAAGTGGGCCACTGCACTGCTCAGTAGTTGCAATTATTGTTTAATTGCAACGGCCGCAGTTTTTTGGAGGACGTACGCATTGAGGCTACCGATCAAGTCCTGCGTCGGAAGTCCTCAATTATTATGAGTCACCGTTGCAATATTAGATTGCAACAGCAACCTGCTTATTGTTAAGTATTACACGTTGTAAGTAGCGCACGGAGGGACTTACAATAGTTGTGAGATAATACAACAGTTATACAATAAAGTAAAAGATGTACTTGTGGAATAATTTTACATGTAAATCGCAAAGGTTTCGCAAAACTCAGAGTCGAAACGTTTGCGATTCACATATAAAATTATTAAACAAGTACATCTTTTACTTTATTGTGTATCATTGTTTTATTATTTCACTCACCAATAACTGCGGCGGTTCACAAAAGCAATTTATTATTTACTATTTGATAATAAAAAGAGTCACAGACAGATAACAGACAGAAAGGCAGACTAAGCAAGTACATAAAGAGAGTTCGAATGTGTGCATGCGTGCGTTAGCTGATCACAGCGGGAGCCTCGCGTAAACACCTGCGTGTAACGGTGAGTCGCGCCCTTTGAGTATATAGACATGGAGGGGGAATGTTGGCTCGAAAACTGTGTCCAAGATGTGTGCGAGAGAGAAAGGTAGACGAGTAATATTCGTCCTCTCTGCGCATGCGTCGATCATTTAACAGACAGAGAGGACGAAATATCACGTGGTATCCGGTCGTATACCTTTCTCTCTCGCACTCCTTGCCACTCTTGGACTCGCTTGCGGCCTGCAA